TATATATATATATATGTATATACAAAATAGGATAAATATACAGCTTCTTTCTCTTAGTTCAATGAGAAGAAAGATTTATACTAATAGTGTTTAGACAAGATACCAGGTCTGCATTTTGTGCTCTGAATAACTACTATGCGCAGGGGCTGGGGGTTCAAACCCCAGCCCTTAGTGCCGGCCCGCCCTCAGGGCACACTGAGAGGGTGATTGAGACTGGGCGTGTTGGCACACATCTGTAACCCCAGCTCTTGAAAGGCTGTAAACAGACGGGTCACTATGAGTCAGATCTACTAGTGAGACCCTGAACACCCTGTACACCTTTTCTTAAAATACAAGAAAAAAAATTACTATGAAGACAATATGCGATCTATTAATTATTGTAACTGTCCTATTAACCTGTTTTGAAACTGTCTCATTACTATTTCTTTCTCAATAAAATAAAACAAACAAACAAAAAAACCCACTGCCACCCAGGCGTGGTGGCTCACGCCTGTAATCCCAGCACTCAGGAGGCTGAGGCAGGAGGATGGTTCCAGCCTGGGCTACAAAGTGAGTTCAAGACCAGCCTGAACTACATCAGGAGACCGTGTCTCAAAAAGACAACAAAAGAAAACCACTCCTGGATAAGTATCAGAATCCAGACCAGCGCGATCAAGCGGCGCCGCCCCTCCACTTCCTGAACCTGACGCTGCTACGGTACCAAGAGAAGGGCCTGGTGCAGAAAACAAGCACCGAATTATGTAGGGGCTCAAAGGCATGATTGCTGCTGCTCACTCTCAAAGGCTTCTGGAAAAGGATAAACGCCCTAAAGTGGATGACAAAGGCAAAGTTCACAACAGGTGAAATGCGTAGAGAAGTCACCCGAAGCATCCTGACAACTCTCTTGACTTTCTTTTTAATGAAAAGTCTTCAAAAGGTTAACCAGGACTGGATGGCAGATATAGACCGAGGCTTTCAGCAGCTGAGGTGGGAGGGAAGGGCAAGCCTGAGGGTGGTTTCTGTCCCTACATCCATTTGCTTGTGTGTGTGTGTGTGTGTGTGTGTGTGTGTGTGTGAAGTCATGCTAAGTTGCTGAACTGCCCAGGTTTGGACTGAATCTGTGATCCTCCTACCACAGCCCCTCTGGGTGCTGGGATGCCAGGTGGGCACCACCAGCCCTGAGTCAGCCTTCTATTCCTTTCTTAAGCCAGCCACCCAGCGGGGCCAGCTTCACCAAGAAGGAAGGCACGCTGCCAGTGCCTGGAGAGCCAGATCCCGATTCCAGTAACTCCACAGCTGTGAAGGGAACGCGATGTACTTCTGGAGATTCATCTGGAGGAGATCGCTTGGGCCTGGAGACTACGGGGAAGGCCACTCACTCTTTCCTAGTCCACAACTCTTGGCTATGAAGAAGCTCCAGACAGGCCACGTCCCACCCAACTCACTTCACCCTGTGTTCCACTCCACTCTCCGCACCGGAAGTTCCCACAGCAGCAAGGCACACTCATCTTCCATCTAGAAAGCTGACTTGCCTTTCTAGAAGTTTCCTGTAAAGTTCCTCATTCACATTTCCAGTGACACTAGGCTCCTCTTGATGTGAAGAGCGCCATTTTCCTGCACTTCCGTTCAAACCTCAACATTGAACACATAAAAACCCTTAAAAGCAATGATGTGTTTGACACTTTCTTATTTTCAGTGTGAGCAGGAAAATCCCAACCTCTGATTTCATCCTTGCCCTCAGCTTCTCTGCATAACATGGGCTCCCTGAAATCATGCTTCACCCCGACTTTGGCACTTCTGCCCCAGCACCGTCTTCAGGGTGAAAAGCAGCCCCACCTGGGGTAGATGTGTGAGGCCAGATCTTCTTCCTGCAGGTTGAGGTGCCCTTAGGAACAGGCACCCTCGGGGAGCCCCAGGAGATGGGCCTTGGTGCTGGGGAGGTTCCAGGAAGGACAGTGCCTTGCTTGGCATCCATACCCAGCACATCCCACCCAAGACAGTGCTCTAAGACGCCAGCCTCAGCACCTCCTTGGACCAGCTGTGAATAAACCCGATTCATTCCCACAATTCCTGCCCCCTGAATTTTGGTCCTTTCAAGTGACAAGCGACCTAGACGTTTGATTCCAGGAACATCTGGGGGCCACTGTTGGAAAGGAGGGTGATTTCTGCGCCACCCTCTTTCTGGAAACCAGCCAGCAGTGTATATTGTTCTGTTTTTTAATTTAAATGGAACCTATTTTTAATTGTAGAAAATGATATATTCAGATTAGACAAAAGTCATGTCTTGTGAAGCTAAGGTTTTAAAGCACAAAAATTCCAAACTATAAAATTGATATTTAATCCTTTTGTTGGGCAAAAATAGCAATTTCATGTGGTTCAACAATTTCAATAGTA